TTTTGGTCATTGTTGCAAATCACCATAATGTATATGGTGACAAAAAAAGAGAGTGTTGATGTATATGATGATTAATTGTATTAATTAGCAAATAACTGGTTCAATGTATACATCTTCTTTGCTTTTTGGTTAATTTGTAATATTAACAAAATGGGTAATTGCAATAAATTTGAGACTCCTTGACAGTTGTATACATCTTTTTGCTTTTTGGGAAACAATACAACCGCTACTTGCAATTAGTTGCTCATGAATTTTTAATTGGTGATTGTAACAAGGTAAATAGTTCTACTTAGGGAATTAATGAATTATCAATATAATCATATAATGGTTGGAGGGTAGCTGTAAATACATTAAATTGAATTTAACATCAAGCTTGTGAAGATTTACTTAGAAAAAAATGTATAAAATTTAATTAAAAAGCTCATCTATTACATATCAAAATGAATATAAAAAAAAGGCCATATAATCCTCTGAGGGAATCCGATGTAATCTGCTTTTTTTAGTTTTTACCCAAATGGAGAAAAATAAAATGAACAGATTGCAATTTAATTGTATTATGACTCAAAGAAAGTGTGTAACAATAGGTCAATCAGCATTAACAAAAGATAGTGACTTCTAACCAATCACATTCCGGTATTCTTACTTTAAATCAACCATTCCACTCTCACAACTCTCAACACAAACCAAATCAGAAGAACCAAACACAGAAAAATCATTACTAATTAATCAGCATCATAATCATGTTGAAGATGATCCAGTTTCTTGTACTAACACTTGTGGTGATCTCTCCTCCGATCTCTATTTACGCAGACAAAGACCTGATGATAAATGAATGCCACAATGCACCAGTCCCATCCACATGCATGCAATGTCTCGAATCCGACCAAACCTCCCTTCATGCCGACCCTCATGGCATCGCCGGCATAGTCCTAAACTGCCTCGACTCTCACCTCCATATCCTCACCAAGCAAGTCTTGATCACTTATTACAAATTACCAAATTATCAAGTTTAATTATATTTCTTCCCTTAGCTAGCACGTACTTCTCTAATCATTTTCTTGTTAATTTGTTGCAGAAACGTTACGGAGCTATTGGCAAAGAAACAAAAAGGTGTTGCAATCAAGACAGCTCTTGTGGGTTGCAAGAAGGACTTGTCAAGTGCACTTAAAATGCTTCCGGATGCGAAAACCGGTCTGAAAAACGGTGACTACGACAAGGCCGGAGAATCGTTGAAGTTTGCGCTTATGTTTCCAATGAGATGTAAATTCAATCTCCAACGTGCCAAGTTTGATAAGTATGAGTATCCTCAAGTTTATAGTCAAATCAATATCTATGCACAACTCTCTGATGCTGCTATGAGGATCATCGACCGTTTCTAATGTAATTAATCATCCTCATGCATGTTAAATTTCTCTATGTAACTCTCTACAAGAGTTTTAATTATGATGCCAATCACCCCAAATCTAAATAAAAAAATCTTGCTTTATTCGAGATTTCTTTTTTTCTTTTTTCTGAACCATTTAATTTCTCAAGTTGTATCATTTTATCATGGAAACCAAAAAAAAACCTATGAGGGTAAAGTTGGGCCTGAGTGAACTATAAAATGGGCCATGTATTACCCACCAACCCAACAATAGTGCCAGATGGCAGGACTCTAAATTATGTATTTTTAAAAAATTAATAACAAATATTCCGCGTAAATCCAAAATTAAAATGCCCCCTACTAATTTCGTTAAATTTTTTTTGGTAAAAATAATTTTTTTTTTAATTTCGTTAAATTAATGATTAAAATCAGTCATATAATTTGCATT